TAAGATTCAGTTACTTAAACTAATGTTCATAAACTTTGACATTCACTGTGTTGAAAGACCATGATGAACCAAGCCTACTGATGATATCTTTAATTTCTCTTATTTTCCTCTTTAATCAGGAAATTCAATCAAGCTGATAACTGGTTTTTTTTCATCTTAGAACTTCTTGAATCAACCATCTCCCATTAGACTACAGTCTCTGTTGTTAACAGCATTTGTTTTACAAAGAATTTGAATATTATATCATAGCTTTGAGTAGCTAATCATTCATCAGCTAAACCTAAAGGGAATTCATTATTTTCAGCAAATGTTTTTTTTTGCAGGGGGTCTAACTGGGGGAAGAAGCACTCACATATTCTGTTGAAATTGTTGGCAACAGAAATACACAACACCTATGTTGAATTCTATGCCGTAGATATTGATATGAAAGAAAAAGAGAAGGTTATGCATAAAACCTATGCGGCTGTAAAAATTTGCCTTGCACTTGTTTAAGCCTCTGGCCTCCAGAGTTTCTACAAACATTTTCAATACGCATTAGCAAATTAGACTGATATTTTTTCCCAACTGTATTGTTCATTGCTTAAAAAATATTATCCTCCTGCAAAGGCTTACACTTGGCTTCAGATTATACCGATTTATTTTTATCTTGTTTCCTCTTTACCTTGCTTCTAACAAGAGCATTCAGATGTCAGGAGATGTTAGCGTGGCCCTGTAGTTAAGTATTTTTTAACATATCTAAACAAGAGGCACTGCTGATGACAAAAAGGTGTAAACTCTTCAGTAGGAATTCAGAATGAATTCTTAATTTTGTACATCCTTTAGGAAATTTTGTATAGATTCTGAATCAAAGGAGAAGAATATATTTATATGTTTAAAGGATCAATTGGTTGTCTGTTTTGGCCAAAAGTTGTATATTGTTTATATATTGCAGCCTCTATCTTATTTATGGATAGAGTAGTATCTTTCAAAAAAAAGCATCTAGTCTTGATGTGAAGACATCAGCAACTGGAGAAGCCAGTTCTTTCATGGTAGCCTGTAACAGAAGCCTCAGTGGTAAAAAATGTGTGACGTATTCCTAACATTATTCGCCCTAGCTTCTCAGTCATTTGCTTTCGTTACAGTTTTCTCCACTGAATTAAAGAGCCTTTTAGTTCTTGATGTTTTCTCCCTCCAAGGGCTGTAACCAAGTCACATCTCAGTCTTCTTTAGAAAAAAGATTCAGTGTGACATCAGGTTTGGGAATGGTAGAAAAAAAAGCTAAAACCGTTTGTTCTCCAGTTTGTGTCCAGAATTCCTTTTGTTGACTTATTCCTCAAATGCATCAGGCATGGATATTCAAGTGAGAGCATTGCTCTTCCTTTTCACAGAAGATGCTGAATACAAGAAATTATAAAGTAGAGGAATGTCAAAGTGATAAGTAGCTTTAATAATTAAGAACTATTCCTGTTGAGGACTGAGTTCTTTCTGAAAGATGTTACACAGTTGATAGAGGTTTCATTGAATTCACTTTAGATAAGTGTATGAAAGAGTTAGTCTCAGCATCTTCACTTAAATTGATCCTATTGGATCTGATTAGATAATTGGCTCTCTATCCACACTTAAAGCACTATTCTTTCCAAATTAACAAAAAGAAAAATACAATTTTTGGCCTTTTGCAAGGGCTGCCAAGTATTAAAGAACCTAAACCATTCTTCTTCCTTGAACCATGCCTTTCTTTTCAGCCCTTCCTCTACTGTTTCCAGACTTAAAATTCAATTTCCAAAAGTGGTTATTCCCTGATACATCTCCCATGCTGTAATTAATTGTGTTTCCTTATCTCAGGCCTTCTCTCTTCTGGCTACCTTTAATCCTTCTCTAAAGTTTCTATATCTCTTGTTTTAGTAGAACAACACCCTTTTCCTGGTTTTTATGCTACAAACAAGCATTACCAAAAAGGCACCTCTTTCATCTAGTTACCTCAACTAACTGGCCTTCATTGTACTGTGTTTTGTTCATGTAGCCTTTTCCTGTTCTAATAATTCCCTCTAATCCCATTGTAACACAAAAGACTAAGAATATCTTCATGCTGGTGGCAGAAAAAATGATAAGTTCCTAATGCTGTTACCTTTCTGAAGTCATATTACCCATTAGCACGAGGCAGTAGGTAAAAGAATTTTCGTGATGCTGGAGATGTAATGGGTCAATCCACACAGACTTTCATTACTCATAGTAAGGACAGGAGGTCAGATTCAGGGGTAGAAACAATGACAGGAACACCTCAGTGGTATATTTGGCTTACGGAACTACATTTTTTGTCTTTCCTTTGGATAGAATGATTACAGCCGCTATTAGGCTGATCTGCCTTCTCCTGTTGTCTGATGTGGGTGGATCAGGAGCACTCAACTTCTGAGTATGCCCAAATCAGAGTTAAAAATCAGTAGGATAAATATTGAGATATAATCTCAATTTCCATAAAGAGATCATTGCTGAGTGCTGCTGGAGTACAGTTGTACTAAAGTATAACATGAAAGCTAAATACTAAAGCAGAGGTTGAGAAATAATTGACCAGTCACCATCATTTGGTATTCCAAATGTTCCCTTATATACGTGCTAATACTGATCAATGGCTTCAATCTGAGGAATTCTTTCTTAGCTTCTCCTAACATATCCTAACATCTCCAAGTTGCAATATACTTTTACTGTAATTTGATTGCTACGGTGATAAGGGATGGCAACAAAATCAAAAAGCATTCTGTGAATATTCTCTGATGCTAAAGAAAAGTGAATAATACGTCCTAAAAGTCCAATTCATGTTACCTTACTGAAACAAGTATTTGCAATGAATACAAGAATGAGTAATAAATAGGCAGAAGTGGTTTGACTCTTTTTTCTGTTAATAATATTTTCTTGCAAGATGTTGGTTGCATCAGCTGATTTTGTAGATAGTAGAGACTGAGATAACTTGGATCTGGTAAATGTTACTCCACATACACATTGCTGTATGTAGTTAGTATGTATTTGCAAGAAAATGGTTGGAGACCCATGCACTTACCTACAAATTTGTTTAGAATAAATTAGCTACACTTACCTGACAGTTTACAGTTTTGAGCTAAAAACTTTCTGTTTACCACCCCAAGACTATATATCTTTTGTAAAGGCTAGAAAGCCTATTGTTTTATGAATATCTATTTTTAATACAGTTGGTTCAAATGACCATTTGACAAAATATGAAATTAATTCATACTCCTACCTCAGAATAGATTTATTCTTAAGTTCATTTTACTGCTACACCAAATAATTGGAAATGCTTCTGATTCAGTATGCAAATGTGTGGAAGAAAGGTGGTTTAAATCAGAGTTCATTCATAGCAGAATACCAAACTATAGCATATGCATAAACATATTTGTCATATAATATTCCAAAAGTAAGTGGAACTGGATTCTTAGTCTCTATAATTCTGCTATTTCTTTGATGTTGCAAAATTTAAAAAAGTTAATTGTCCCAAAATAGTTAGGCAACTCATAACTGTTCAGATAGGCAGGCAGATAGGTAGACCATTGCCTGAGGTTACAATAATTGACCAGAACAAGAGAAACTACTGGACATAACACGAGATATTGCTGAGTATAATGAATAGCAGAGTGAGAAGCTGACAAAAGTTACGGTGCCACAAGCGATGACAGGATTTCCCACAAGCGATGACAGGATTTCACAGATGATTAAAGGGGAATTTTGTGAGAGATGGTGAAACTTCACAGATAGTTAAAGGGGAGCACTTGAGGCTTTTTGGGAATCAGAACCTTGCAAGGCCAACAGGTAACCATATCAATAATACGATATAAAACCAAGATTATCTTGGTTACCATATCAGAAGCACTGAATTTGTACATGGATGTGGCAAAACCAAGGACAGTGTGGAAAAAGAAATCAGGTAAAGGTTGTTTATTTGGGAGGAGACAAGGCCAAAGAAAGGTAGTGTTCAAGGTGGATAGGGGGAAAACAGGCATGTGAAAATAGACAGAAGAGATAAAAGCAGCTGGCTGAGTATAAGCAGGCTGCTGGTCAGTACTCTTTTCTAAAGCCTGTGTCTGACCATTGCAGTCTCTGCGAAACTCTTAAGTATTTTCTGTGTGACTGTGTGTGCATGTGGTGGGGGGAGTGTGCTTCACTAGCAGACTTCAAGCTGGACTGGCCAGCAAGTAGGCGGACACCTGCATCTGGGAAGACCTAACGTCTGAGTTAGCAACTGGATAAGTGGCTCAGGATATGGGCATGAATATGAGACAGACTCAGAACCTGTGCTCATATTCGAGGGAGCCATGAATATGGGTATGTTTGTGCATCTAGAGAGTAAGGGGGTGTCACGCTCTCCTGTTGAGCGGGAGAGGAGGAAAAGATTTAGGCCGTCTGTACCGCTAATGTTCACAGGGGTGCTGCTTGTGTTTATGTGGTACAGGGGCAGACACTGTTCTTTCTGTTGATCCATGTGGCCACTGTGTCTGTATTGTGTGTGCGTGTGCACACATGCCTGAGAATACACCCAGCCTCACTATTAGCTCAGCCTATAAATGGGAATGGGAAGAACCTGCTGGGTCTGAAACTCCGCTGGATTTGGTTTCCCACAACAATAAACCCTATGACAAAGACATTTAGTGACTGTTGTCTTTTAGGACATTGGTTTCATTTCTCTCTTTCTCCCCTTGCTACGCTTGAGTTTACTCACTCACACATATTAATATCGTATGTATTCACCAAAACAAACAAAATGCAAAGGAATATTTTGTGTTCTTCACTTTTTAGATGTTGATTGTTTACGAGTGTCCAAGTAGTTAACTGGAGTTCCACAGTGTTTTTGAAAAAAACACGGTAGATAAAAGCATCTCCATCTCTCTAAAATTAAAAACAGACTTCATTAAAATAAGAGGCAAACAAAACAGAGTGACAAGGTAATTTTATGGACAGCATACTAAGAAGCATCCTTTACTCAAATACTCCCTATTTTCTGGTTTTATTCCTTGTAGGTCCTTTTTGTGAGGAAGCTGATGATCCTTGCTCATCTCAGCCATGCCTGAATGGAGGCATATGCCAATATAACCAATCTGGATATGTTTGTGATTGTCCAACTGGTTTTCTTGGTCATAACTGTGAAGTTGATATCAACGAGTGTTCTTCAAAGCCATGTCAGAACAGAGGTACATGTATTGATTTGCTAAATGTAAGTACAAACTTCAGAGCTTCATATCTGAATGTCATGCCAAATCATTTAACTCTAATGTTAACTTTTAAAATTAGCTTTTTATAATTCATGCATAAACATACTATTACCTGAATGTTTAGCATTTCTAATATTTCGATGATTAAAAAGCCCAAATGCCACATTTTAAGCTGAGTTGTTTGGAGTTTGCTTAAGAAATTAGCAATGTTGTTTCATTTCTTTTTTGCTCTAATAAAAAACTTCTGAATAAAACATGGTACATCACAGTCTATTTTATTAGTTAGTGGTTGTTTCCCACTGTTGCTTTTCCTTGTAGGATTTATTTTAATTCTCCTTTTAAAATTTGTCTTTGTTGTTGTTATAAAATAGAATAAATTGATGCAGAGTGGCAGAAGTAGCAGAAGATAATAGAGCCATATCTGGTAGTATTTCAAAATACATTGTTGATGTTCTTTCATTAGCTTGACTGTTGTAGATAGCAGTGAGTAAACAAAGCCAAAATAGTGAAAGAGAGCTCAAAAGCTCAGTTATCATGTACGAGTAAATCAGTGATACATACTCACTCACAGAGAGAGAAAAAAAGAGGCATCTGAGGTACTGGACAAATTGATAGATTTCTAAATTATAAAATCTATCTAAAAATTCCAGATATTTCCACTTAATTCTTAGTTAGTAGATATACAAACATATATATTTTGTACAATCATTTGTATAGACACAGAAATGCAGCAGATCGTTTCATACATAGAGAAACCTTTTAATAGATATTAAAATAAAGCTCCTTCATGATGCTTGTAGGACTGAATCTGAAAAAAACACTTCTCTGAACACTGCCAAATTTACCAGAAGAACAAACCCCATGTATTTTTGCCCTTCCATGTGACATCAAAAAGCATGTATTTTCTAACAATGTAATGTTCTATAAGGACAAGAGTGTCAACACTAATAAATATTTTATTGTAAAATATCTTACTGTTCTTGCTGTGTAAATTGCAGATTACAGTAACGGACATGTCTTTCACAACTGTTCTCTACACTTTATGTTGTGGGTTAAAAAAGAATACAAACCTTTTTCTTTCCTACTCTAGTTACTGAATACTGTTTGGAACATGACGTACTTCAGGCACTATTACGGTTTGATAGAGACTTTTACACTGGAATAAATTTAGAAATAAGGAAAGAACATAAACAAATTATAAAGCTCCTTGATTCAGTTATGAAAACACAAAGCCAGACAATTTAGAGCTGGTATATTTCCAATTAGCAAACTTGACTCTACTATAATATGTGCTGGAAGGCCTGTTCCACTTGTCCTAAATTATGTTTGCAACCTATTTGGGGCTATGACTGTTTTATATTATATCTTTGTACGCTGCTTAATATGATGAGACCCTGTCCTACTTAGGGTCTCTATAGTAATGAAAGTAAATACTGATTTATGAATTGTCTTGGATGCAACAAATAATTATTTCCAATTTCCTTCTCTTCTATAGGATGTAGCATGTATCTGTCTGCCAATATTCACTGGCAAGTTCTGTGAGAGAGCGCTGAATCCGTGTGAATTATTGCCTTGTTTAAATAATGCAACTTGTGTAAAACAGCAGCAGAACTACAGCTGCCGGTAAGATAAGAAATTCTTTTATTTCAGTACTTTTCGTTGAATTACTTGATGATATGCCACTGATTGCAGAAAGAAAAGAAATCTTTAGTAAGAGACAATACAGAAAACAATTTACTTTCATTTTAACAAATTTTTCTTACTTTGGGGGGCTCTACTGTACCAGACTTTTTGAAGATTCTTGAAGAAAGCCTGAAAAAAAATTTATAGCATTTAAGAAGTTATAAATTGTTTCATCATGAATTCTGCAAGACAAAATATATAAATCCCGACACATTGGAGACAAGTGACACATTAAATTACAGCTATCACTTGCATTTAGGGTATATGATTATTACATTCTCTTTTTGAAAGGGTAACTGTTCATTCCCAATTCATGAATGTACATTAGTAGATCTTAGACTGATCCTTTAAGCAGCATATTCAAAAGTGCTTTATTCCAAGAGACCACACTAAAAATCATCCCTTTGCAAATAACAGAAGTGACCCGTTAGGTATATGATTTCAGTCCATTTTAAATAGCTTTATAGATTTTTTTTTTTTTTGCACCATAAAAGTGTACAATTTATATTCTTTACATTTGCTTGACTTTTATCTAGGTACCTTAAAGTAAGTTGTGCTGAGCATTACTCAAATGATTAAACAATCTCCAATTATAGGATATTAGTAAAAGCAGAAAATTGAAAGCTGTGGTATGCAAAAACCTGAAAACACATTATGAATGAATTTAGAATGTGCACAGTGTTTCAGTCCATCAGAAGAGATTCAGTTGAGAAGTCTAGAAATTAAAATGCACATGGAACTATGCTTCTAATTTCCCCAAACAAGGAAAAAGAATTTCATTTATACTTAAACAATGTCTCTCTCACACACACAGTTAGGTCTTCCCATATTGATATATGGGATATTGATATATACATATAGCACAGAATTCAGAGTGTGACTGTTTATTTACCAATATCTAAAGAGATATAAGTTACAAATAATTTACTATTATCTAGACAGTCTTTTACAAATTATGTTGGTGCGTGCATTAGTATGAAATTATGCCTGAAACTTATGTTTAAAAATATGCATAACGTGAACAATTAATATGAATATGTAAGTTACTTTTCTTGAGAAAAAACAAGTTCCTGGCCATGTGTATAATTCAATAATTTCAATAATCTACAATTCACAAAACAAAACTGAGTAGAAGTGGTGCTATATCATGAACTTTGTTGTACCACAAAAAGTGGTAAACAGAAATAGCTATGGAAAGAGACGAGGTGACAGAACATTCACTGTAATGATCTAGTATTTTGGAATAAGAGTGGCAGTCGTCATTATTTTGATCAAAATAATATAAAGTAAAAATGATCAATTAAAAGCCCATTTATACTGATTATAATGAGACACATTTAAATTAGGTGGTTAAAGCTAGGTACCAGAGTTTTTTTGTTTTGGGTACAGACATGGTAAAACCCTGTTTCCTATGAACGTCAATCATAAAAATCCAATCCAAAAATCCAAATTAATATCAGTAGTGCCAAGATTTTACCTTCAATGTTTCTGTACTGTGCATGTGTGCAGTTGCTTGGTCCATAAAATACCTATCTATCAAGATAGGCATGTCACACTGGAGAGCTAGTCTGAGAAATGAGAAGGGCAATTCTATTCTGCTATTTTTAACATCAAGAATGCTCTAGAACAAGGAAAACAACATCCAAGCAGAATACCTTGAATATAGCCAAGAAGAGCACCTCCATCAAGTTCCTGTAACTTCAAGGGCTTGGCCCTGAACATCCTGCTTAAGTAAAAAATATCAGATAGCATTCATCGCACATAGTTTTACCCTAGTATCTACTGTAAGCTAGAAAGCAGGCTTCTTTATGAAGAAGGGGAAGATTAACTCCAGAAGGTGATTTAACTCTTCCAAAGGGGAGGTAAAACACCTTCTGGGGGTTCCCAATTTTCTCTGTTCAGAGTACCTAGAAAGCCCAGACTGCAGTCCTACAGTAGATACTAAAACCATAGACTTTTAAAGTTAGATAAAGATGTATCCCATTCCTGATGGCAGCGTTGTAACTGAAGTTTCATTACTCAACTTTGATTTTGGAATTCACTCCCCAAAGGCTCCAGTTAGTGACTGTAATATTTTTTCCAAAGTATATTGTTAATAAATTCATAAATCTTCCTTTATGTTTGTATCTTGAAAATAAAATATATTTTTTTTACTGCTTATTCACAAACACTTTAAAACTGTAAATTGTGTATATTTATGCCTGTACCACTGGAATTCATTTAGATGAGAAAAAGCTTTTTGAGGGACTATCAATCAGACACTTTACTCAAGACCACCAGATTAAGGAATTTGGTGTGAGAGATGCAATCTTGCAAGTAAGGGTGTTGAAATGTAGAGGAGATGCAAAGTTCTTGAAAGGGCAGTTCCAGCCTACCCTGATGTAACTAGCAGAGTGAACATGAGAGCACAACAGTGATCACGAGAGCTGAGAAGATTACAGGATCAAGTTTAAATAGTTTCTAGGTCATCTGTGAGTGACCAGCTAGAATAAGTGTCCCTAGGTTTGCCTCAGACTATTAACTCTTCCAGCTCATTTTTAGTTTCCAGGAAGTAAATACAGTTCATTTCTTATTCCTTAAAAATTTATAGCTGACAGAATCATAATAGGACCAACTGTCAGCAGATTCTACTATTTTTAGGTTCAAAAATTGTCTTTGCAAATTTATGTCTTGCATTAGCTACCTGGATAACAGAGGATGTCAGAAAAGGAATAAGAACAGTGGTTTAACAGTTTCAAGTTTATTAAGTCACACACTTGGAAACTTTCTGACAGTATGAATCATTCTCCCTCTATAATTCAGGTTACCCAAAGGAAGGGTACCATTAACAATATTCCTTTTTTCAAGAGGCTTGGAGTTGGTCATTCAAAGTTTTAAGTTAAAGTTTTGTTTCCTTCTCAGTAATTTCTGTATTTATCATAATCATTTTCAGATAATGTAGATTATGACTATAACTAGTTAATCCGCAAAAAGCATGTTTTTCATATAGTGTAACTCTACTACCTGATCCACTTTTATTTTGAATAGCATTTTAAATGATTGTAATGGCACTTACATCACAAATTCCAATAAGAGTTAACTTGACCATTTTACTCCTTTTTTATTTTGTTTTAGCTGTCAGCATTTTATTTGCTTTTTCTAAGGCCCAGGCTGCATTCTTCACTGCCTCAGCTTCTATCTACTTACCCTTTCTTCTTTTGGAAAGGAGTTGTTTTCCTTTCCAAACATATACTCAATTTAATTTTATTTACTTCAGTTATGATGTATGACTACTTTGTCTCCTAACTCCATTCTTTCAGTCTTGATAACATACACGACTTTGTGATAAGAATCTGATAGTAACATTTTTTTCTTAAATGTCAAAATTTAAAGTGAATTCAAATAGGTAGTGGACAGGTTATCCATCACAATAAATTATGATTGTTTACTTTGTATCTGCTTCTATTATCCATGCTTTCTGTGACACTTAAAGCAAAGCAAAATGGGAAGGAGTATTCTGAGAAAATTTGTTTGTTTGTTTGTTTTTTACTATTATCTTTGGAAATTTACTGTCAACTTTCCTACTGTTAATTTACACTTACTTTCTCTGACATTGACTTGTCTATTGCAAAACAAGCTAACTGAAACTAAGAAAAATGAGGAAATAAAAAAATTAGAAGAAGAAACCTAAAAAAAGTTTTATTAAATTATCTATTTTATAAAACAGTTAAAGATTACCCAAATAAACACAACCAAGAAAACTAGGAGCTCTCTCAGTTGTTTTCATATCAGATATCACACGATTTTATAGTTGAGAAAAAAAAAATGTATAATTGGCTTACTCTGATTGATTTGTTTTTAAATGACATTTTTCAAAGGAATTGTAAAAAAGATGCCACATCACTTCTGTTATAAACACTTTATAGCCTAAAAAGCAGTCTTGGAAACATCTAGATAGAGAAGGTTTTTCCACCTACTTCTGTCCACATGGTCCCATACTTAACCAGCATGTAGACTATCCAGGGCCTTCTAGGGATATCCAGCCCATTTAGTACTTCACAAAAAGCTAATCACAGAAGGGCCAAGGTTGGAAGGGACCTCTGAAGATCATCTAGTCCAATCCCCCTGCTCAAGCAGAAGCTTGGAGAAAGACAGGCTTAATAGGCAGCCTGAGTCTTGTCCAGTTATTGACGTCATCTAGGAGAGGAAGAATTGACAGATCTGGTGAGAACAGATTTCCCATCCGGAGTACTTATTTCCTAGGACCAGATTAAAAGGACCAATCTAAAGACCTAGACAGACACTGAGAGGACTGTTCAGAAATGGTTCAGCTTCTAACTCATATGGGAACTAGCTTTAGACACACCAAGTTGATACCCAATAAGTGCCTCTGTTCACATTGTATAAGCAGAATAAAACAGAAAGGGAAAATACTTTTAAACTCCTATGGTTCCTTTCAAAAAACAACAAGCGTTGGCTAACATCTTGAAGGTCCCATATCTGCTGCTACTATTTCAAAATTTTTCTTAGGATATGCTAACAGAACCTATGATTTTGTAAGCTTGTGAGGTAAGATGTTGCTTTCTGCTTAGTAGTATTTGGAAAAACTAGTATTTTGAGGAAGAGCTCTTAACTGCTTCATAGGGCTTAGCCAATGCCAGTAAAAATAAGCACAGATCTTAGGATGCCTCCACATTTCTGTTAATTTGGGTCGGAAGTGGGTTCTCTTGGACCCTTCTTCCTTCTAGGGCTGGATCCCATGGGATTCTTCCAAGAAGATCCCTGAAGAGGCCAAAATTTGCTCTCCTGAAGATCAGGGTTGTGATCCTACTTATTACCCTGCCTCCTCCTCGCAGCATCCTGAACTCCACCATCTTATGATCACTGCAGCCAAGGCGACCCCCAACCTTCACATCTCCAAGCAGTCCATCCTCTTCTGGTAGTACAAGGTCCAGCAGTACACCTTTCCCCATTGGCTCTGCCATCACCTGTGTCAGAAAGTTATCATCAGTGCTTTCCAGGAACCTCCTGGATTGTTTATGCTGTGCTGTGTTGTTCCTCCAGCAGATATCAGGATGGTTAAAGTCCCCCATGAGAACCAGGGCCTGTGATCCTGAAGCTACTTCTGGCTGTCCAGCTATATCCACAACAGAATCACCCATGTTCGTCTGTCCCTTACTCCTTACCCATAAGCTGTTGACTTCCTCATCATCCTCCCCTAGGCAGAGCTCAATACATTCCCGTTGTTCTCTCACATAAAAGGTGAATCCCCCACCTTGCCTTCCTGGCCTGTCCTTCCTAGAAAGCATGTTACGATCCATGGCAGCATCCCGGTCATGCGAGCTATCCCACCATATCTCCATAATTGCAATGAGATCATAGCTCTGCAGCCACACACAGATCTCTAAATCTTCCTGTTTATTCCCCATGCTGCATACATTTGTGTACAGGCACTTCAGAGAGGTATTCAAGCTTGCCAATTTCCCGGGACGCTGAGAGAAGATTCCGTGTAGTCTTGTCTTGTGGGTGCTCCCTTGGCTGCATCTAATTGCTGGAGGTATCCCCACTTGAGCCCTGTTTTGCTGACCGTATGGTCTCTATAACTCTCCCCTTCCCCCATCTTTCCTAGTTTAAAGCCCTCCTTAACAGGTTGGCCAGCCTATTGGCAGATGCATGTGTTCCATTTAGTGAGGTAGATCCCATCTCTCCTAAGCAGCTGTCAATCTTCAAACAGGGTCCCATGGTCATAGAAACCAAAACCTTGTTGCCAACACCAGTTGCGCAGCCAGTTGTTTACTTAGAGAATCCATCTAGTCCTCCTCCCATCCTTCTCCTGACTGGCAGGATCAAGGAGAAAATGACCTGGCCGCCAGACCCCTGGCCATCATCCGCACAGCTCTGAAATCCTCTTTAATACTTACCAAGTTGCACTTGGTATCATTGGTGCCCACGTGGAAGAGCAGAAGAGGGTAATAGTCAGATGGGTGGACAAGCCTCAGCAGTCTTTCCATGATATCTCATATTCGAGCCCCTGGCAGGCAACAAACCTCTCTAGAGAAGTGGTCAGGTCAGCAGATGGGTGTCTCTGTCCCCTGCAGCAGGGAGTCACCCACAACAATCACTTGCCACTTCTTCTAGGTGTTCCTGCGTGGCTCAGTGTCCATCGGCTCTGTTGCTTCACTTGAAGCCATGCCCAGCTCCTCCTCAAACCTGTTCATGAACTGCAAGTCTTCAGGAGGAGCAAAAGCCTTTCTCCTCACACAAGGAGTGACCAGTTTCCAGACATTCATCTTCTACAGAGTTATGGCTTACTGTTCCACATGGCACAGAGCCCACCTGCATCTCCACTGCTGTGGGGGGCTGAGACTCCTGAAGCTGTAGGGTGTCTGAGAATATCCTATCTATCTCTCACTCATCTTCTCGGATGCTATGCCTGCTTACTTCCTCCTGTAACTCCCTTACCTGCCAACATTAACAACAGCACATCTTCTGTGGAAAAGTTGACTGTTAGCCTTAGCCTCAGCCTCACGAAGACACTCCAAGCCCCAGGCGCTCCCTGTAATTTGAGACCTGCAGAGCTGCACCCACTATCAGAAGGTCAGTCTGGGTGGAAGCCACTGACATGGCTGACATAGCAACTCCAACAGTTACTGAGGAACACACTTGCAGCATGTAATAACCATATCTGAGGAAGTGTACACTACTATGACAGGAGACAAAGGCACCTTCTTTACAGCATTCTGCAAAAACTGCTACTACTGCTTGCTGCACTCTGAGAGCTGTACTCTAGGCCTGGCTGTTATATAGGCCTCTCTCTAGCATTGACTAACAGGGTGCTTGACCCACCCTAATTAAGGACCAGCTGGAACAAAGGCCCCAACTTCTGATCATAGGTAACAAACAGAGCTCAACAGCAGCAGCTACGCCTAGCTAGAGCTTCCCAGGAGAGGTTAAGGCCTCCTTTAGCTGTCCTTGCCTAGCTCTGCTTTCCTATCTGCAGCAAGCACCCTGTAGTTCCTCATAGGGTCCCCAGAAAGCCTCCACAACTTCCACCAAGGTTCTCAGAAGTTCTAAGCAGAGCCTAGACTTATGCTTCTGGGCATGCTAGATAGATTGTCTTTGTGCATCACTTAAACACATAGCCATACCCACTGATTAGTCATCTTTAGAATTCTTTAATTGATTTAGAAAATTCAGTTAACTAAGACATTTTCTATTAAATGATGTTGTCTGTAGTGTATTTTCTGTTGAAAATATAACCTTTACCGGTGTAAGTTATTCAGCTGTGAGAGGGTTCATGGATTATGAAACCAAAGATGACATTATTTTTGAAAATGGGGAAATGTAAGTGACACAACTGAATATTGCACCCACTGGGACAAAAACAAAACGATCTGTATCATCTTCATGATATTCAGCTTCCTGAATGGGTCAGTAAACAGAGTACCTCTTAGAATATGCTGAAGAAACTTCCTATCTATTATATTTAAGTTTCTTCATAAACAGAATTTTTCAGCTAACTGGTCATTTCCCTTCTCTGCTACTTAAACCTTTTCTTCCTGTGCTATCATAAAGATCCTTTGAAAAGAGTAACATGCTAATCATGTATATAAATATATGCAGGAGTGAATTTGACAGGAATTACACATCCATCAAAAGACGTAAGAAAGTTTTTACAGTCTGTTTTTTACTTTTTGTGCATTTTGAGGAAGACTGAAATATTTATTTGTTCTGCAATGTTCCATTATTGCCTTTGAATAAAATTTGCTTACTATCTACTTGAATCTCATCTTTTTTACTGTGTAAAGAATTTTTTTTTAGCACTGGAGAACCAGATAAGAAAATGATTTTCTCCTACTAATGACAAGTGGTGACATAAAGCAGAAGAAAAGTCTACATCTTCTTTTACCAGAGAAGCGTTAGCCATGGCTGCATTGTCACCCCATAGAACTAGCAAACTATCACCAAAAAAAAATGCTAATTTTCTTCTTTAAAATAAAATATAGTATTATAATTAAATAAACACAAAAGCAACCATGAGTTGTCCTGTGCATGGGTTCCTCACATTGTTCCTTCATACCTAAGTGTGTCATTATTGAATACTCTTTGCTAATCATCAGTAATGATTGATGCTAACTATTTTAAGTCTCAGTTATCATCATATTTCTCAGTATTCTCTCTCATGGTTTAATAAAACCATCCCTTCTAATACGTTTACAAACCTATTAAATACCACTTCATTCAAGGTTGTTTTGGTTTCTGGAAGATTATATGAACTAGTGGTATAAAATATTTTAATTAATGAAAAAATTTATTTTGTGGAGAAGCAAAAATATCCAGAATCATGTGACTGATTGTTAACTGCTTGCAAAAATGGTCTGTATATTTTAAATGACATATAAGGTCTGTTTTGTTACTGCAAGAACATTATTTAATAGAATTATAGAATCTAATTAAATGCTATTAACTTTTAAAATGCAAATCTTCTAAAATACACTTGTATCTTTGCAGCTGCATGCCAGGATTCACTGGAAAGAACTGTGAGGAAGTAATAGACTACTGCAGGCTGCTCAGCATCAACTGTCTGAATGAAGGATTGTGTCTTAATATAATTGGGGGATTCACTGTAAGTAATTTAATATATGTTAAACTAATTCAATGCTCCAAAGTATAAAAGCTCCAGACAACCAGAACTTGAAATGCATTCATTATTCTAAGAGACAAGAGGGACACACATTTAGGTGTTTGTTATTTATTTAAATCAATAACACAAGGAGTATCCTCTTGGGTAATATAGCTTTTTTTTTTATTACTTTTCTATTGAGACTGTGTTTTATACTTTATCGAGGAAGAGAACTGAAGAATATTTTTATAGTAGAAAGAATATATAACTAATTGTGGTCCAGTGCTATTATCCTCATAGATGATAACCACAGGTATGTTGCAGTCTTTAAAAATACATTGCTTGAATTGAGTACATCTCTTGCTGTTATTTTAACCAGAATCAAATTAGTAATTTAAACATAAGCATATTTAAGGAATATCTAATATAAACTTAAAAGTTTGAGGATGAAACTGCAGTGTGGTGAGGTTGGTTCTAACTGACAATTTTCAAAAACATAATTCTTCTTGTTTTAACACCCAAAGAATCTACCAAAAATGTTGAGAAAGGTCTATCATGTACCCACATTCTCCTGGCCACAGCTTGGCAAAGGAGAGGGAATAGTAGTTTCCCTTGTTGCAGGAATTGGGAACAATTTAAAGTGTACTCTAAAAGCCACTCATTTTGCAACTACAGAAAGTGATATACAGTCTTTCAGTTTCTCCGTAGGGTAAATGATACTTTTCCTGAAGGGAATAGATGTGTTCCAAGTCAAGTGTTGTGGCAAAAGTAGCACAACTGAAGTTTTAATCCCCTGCACTCTTTCAGGGATGAGATGAAATAGGATTTGTTCTGTGTTGGAACATTGCAAGGGAGATCTGGAAGTTGGAAAAGGTCTCTAGTTACAAGGTCCTATTTTTATTTTAAGGTGAGCCCTCTGAGAGTATGACTGTTTGGGGAGTATATGAACAGCTCAAAGCATAGGTCCAACACAAAATTCTCAGAATTAATCATCCTTTCAAAAAGCGCTTGATGAAAAGGTCTTCATTATAAATAATACCTTAATGCTGTTCTGAGCTGCACTTATCTGTTTAGGTGTTCAGACAAAATATATTAGGATTACTATTACTGCTTGTGTCAGGGAGCAGGAAACGTAGGCTGCTCTGTAAGAGAAGGAGATCTGGGAACTAAAGGTGACAGCAAGGCAGGCAGAGGCAGCATCCTCACTGACAAGGGGCACAATGCAACAGTACCCTCACAAGAAGAGCAGAGCCAGAGGCCAGGGTTCAACCAGTAGTTCAGTGATCACCAGACAAGTCCATAGTGGTAAGACAGGTCTGAGGTCAAGGCAACGTGTCAGAAATATCAGGGTACAAGGCTGGGTGCAGGCATACCTACAAAATAACTCAGACAAGGACCAAGGGCAAAGGTTTGAGGTTAAGTGCAACTCATGAGCAAATGAGTGGAGGGTGCACGAGTGGAGGTCCCAGGTGAAGCTTCTCACAGCTCTTTCTCACAACTTAGTTGTTTTTACAGCAGTTTGATCCTAGGTTAACACAGCTGTGCCACATCAGAGCTGACCTTGAACACCAGCAGCTGAGCTTATGAGAGAAGCGAAAGAGGTTGCAGAGGAGAACTGTAGAGAAAGGTGATTGTAGGCTGCTCAGGCCAATTAGAGCCTGTTGGTGCACTGAAGATCCTAACAGTTCCTCTTCTAGCTTAACTTGAATCTGAATGTCCCTTGTATATAATTATTCACCCAGTCCAAATCTCATTAGCCTTCCTGTAGTCACAAAAGCTAAAAAGGCATAGGTATTTTCTCCCTAAGGCTTTCCACTTCACTTCTTGTGTTTGGTCATGTTCCTTGAGTCTTACCTGATTGGAAAATTGCTGTATACAGGTCGCCAAGGGTTGTTACTCCTATTTATATATGGAGAAAAAGATATAAGAGCTTCCAGTCATTTGTTTGAGGTGGACAAGCTATATTTTTACACTTAGATCTGTGTATAAGTTCTAGCATGTTAGATAGCATCATATACCTTTCACATCTCACTAAGAATGAGATCTGTACCACTGTCGACTGAATCATGCTCTCCTAGATTGCTGCATCTTGCCCTTTCCCTTAGTGTCTGTTCTTAATTGCCAGAAGCAGCTGTTTAGCTTCACCTTTCATACTTACTCAGCTCCTTGCACTTCCACAGATACGTAATCAGATCTGTGACAGCTCTGTAATGAGGGTTTCATTTAAGAGCATGATAAAGTAAATATGTGTAAATGATGAGAAGTTAATAAGTACTCTTTAGGTAGAAATAAATACATTGCATCTGCTCCATTTTGAATTCTGATTCAGAGTCCAGAAATGTATTAATAATGACTTCACTGCATTAGTAGTATGATAAAGTATGTGCTTTTAAAATTTATATTTTCAAAATAATTTGTCATACTGCCTGTAAATACATATTAATCAGAATAATAGGACTTAAAAGTAGGATCCTCTTTAACACTAAACCTGAAGTAATTTGTAAAATATTGCACATCAGAGATTTGCACAGAGTACTGAAACAGCCATCCTTAAAAGAATATAGCACTTGCTCTGTTGAATATACCACATAAGAATAAAATAGATGCCTAGGAATTATCTTACTCTGAGAGTTTACTTCTCCGCATTGCTGATAACAGATGAATCAAGCAGAAACACTGAGCTCAGTTCTGCTTGCACTGAAATAAACGGGGTCATGAAAAGAGTATACTGATTTAAAGGTGTTTGTGTCTCCCAGTTAACTTATCTACATACTAGAAATATTAGAAGATAAAAATATTAGAGTCAAGACAAAAACAATGCTTTTAACTCTTTTCAACTATTTATTTCTTATATCCACTTACATCAAGCAATAACAAAAATTGCAGCATAAGAATTAGGATACAAAAGAGATTTAATAATCAGAGTACAATGTGTGTGACATGTGGACATCAAAGTGAATATTAAGCTTGAAGAGAAAATGAAAAATACAGTTTTAGGAAAGCAAACAAAGAAATACGGATGCAAAATAGGTATCTGACAGTAAATGTTTTCATATGAACCTCAAAAATAAGCTTTTATGACCAGTATAAGATGTGATGCTTGCTTAGCAGATACAGAATCAGGCTATGAGATATGGCAAAATGAGTTGGCACAGCAAAGGCTGGATTTTTCTATTTAAACTTTGATGCCTACGGAAGTGACTGGTAGGATATAGTATCTGCTAGAGAACTCATATATGACAGGCCTGGAGGACTGACAAATAAGACTGATTAGACAAAGTGAGGAAAGCAAGAAGATTAAAGGGTTTGGTGCAAATTACTGGGATTTTTGTTGAGAACATATATCACGCTTGAAACGTCAGGAACATGAACAAGCAACTCAGACTTTTGCTTCTCCTTTTCCTTCACGGTCATTCTGTGATACGGAATCTTTATTTGGATAATAAACAGTTCTACATCAGTTAAAAGGGTTAAATTTGGTTTAAAAACATTAACAAATTATGTATTCTCTCCAGCATTTTTTTTTATTTTGTTACTTCTCTTAATTCTAACTTTTTTATGTTGCTTCATTTTTCCCCACAAAAAAAAAGATTCTATTATCAAAAAACATACACTGAAAAATAATTTGATAATTGAAGCTAAATTGAGAAAAATTTTGTTGCTGATTTTTTTTTTCAGCAAAGGCAGATTTGGAGGTACTGAAATATTCAATGGATTTGTGTAAGTTGTACTAAAGTGTCCATCTGAAAAAAGCAAAATAATTCTGAAAAAAATTAAGGTGTTGAGTCTTGAAATCTAATTTAAACATAGATTTATGTTTTGAAATTCATCTTTAGTTTAGTTTTAAAGGGTAGAAAATACTTAGAATTCAAACAGTATAGTTTTATTTTTTCAGAGTTGCTGCAGCAGTCAGTTATTGGCACAAGTCTTTTATTACTAATTATTATTATAAATAATAGCAATATAAATAGTTATCCCATTTACATTTGTTATGTTAAGCAATACAGTGCCTCTGTTAAGAAAACTCTGTAAAGAATATATATTAACTTTATGCTGGATAATAATGCTTAGTTATGGGAAGCATTTAGTGGTGATTCTATTGTTTCAGATGAAGATGGGAATTGTTACTTCTTAGGAAAGTGACCTTCTCCTCTGTAATAGCTGATATGTCAGAGTGCAGCTTACTCGTAACAACTAGCCTTTGTTCTTTTTGTTAACATGGAGAAAAATATAAAATTATTTTTGTTGAAATGTGCAGAGCATCCCAGAAAAAGGACAGTATAGTGGATAATAAACAAATCTGATCTGAACCTCTTAATAGGCTATACTACTTAAAAATCTATATATTTTAAGATAGGTAAATGCAATGCTGTATGCACAGGAAAACAAATATAAGTCAGTTATTCAATGGTGACAGTTTCCTCATATTCACTGACAACGAAGACAGCCTAGAACTCCTGGCAGATTCTAAATCTGACATGACATCCATCACACTGCTGATTAAGAGAGAAAGACAAACTCTGTAGTCAGAAAGAAAACTAAAGCAACACAATACGTGTATATAGAGGCCATTATATAGGGATATACTTCTATGATTGTCAGTAGAAGGCACATCATGGACAATTCTACTATCTAAATTGTGCTAATGAGGCTGAAAACTGTAAAAACCCATTAATAAGGAGTTGTAGGGGATTCCAACATTTTTAAAATATATTCTCAAAAGTACAAATCTGGAGATTTCTGCAGATTCACAAATTATAGGCATTCCATGGGCTATCACTTTAGCGGGAACAAAGGAACACCTGTACTTTAAATATTTAATTTTGGGTATCAAATAATGTTGAAGTCATGTCAGCAAGGAAGCCCTAACAGCATTGCGTGTAATTCTGTGCCGCTGCTTCTTCCATGCACTACTGACTATACTAGCAGCATTTTTAAAAATTGTTAGGTAATAAAACATGGTGTAATGCAGCATGTCAGTAGGTTTCAGTCAGATCAGGAAG